GGTGGTGTAGTGGTTAGCATGGCTGCTTTTCCAGCAGCTGACCCGGGTTCAATTCCCGGCCAACGCAATCTCCAACATGGCTGCCTCCCCTCCTAGATGATCGGAGTCCCCCAGGGGAAAAGGCCGATACAAATCCAATGTGGAGGATATAACTGGTGGGATCAATAACAAACCAAAACCAATGAAGGGAATGTGTCGTGTGATTGGACAGATTTCATTACACACGCTCCAATAGCAGACTTCCTGCCCTTCCAGAGTATACCAAGTATAATGGCAGTTATTCCATTCTGAATATATTTTTCCATGAAATCTGTATTAATGACTCCATGGTGATTGTTCTTTGGCTCTGCTAACATTTGTGCTAATAAATTAGTATTAGCCTGATATTTCAAGCCTGCCGAAATGCCACCACGCTTTCTGTGCTCGGCTGCCTACTCTGTAGATAACCTTTTCTACAATTTCGGAACTTCAGATAGAAAATTCTGTCATGCTCTAACTCCATCACGGAGGATCCCTGGAAGGGAGAACTAAATTAAAACACAACTCCAGGCAGCAGCTCCACTCGTAGTCTGCGTGTTGAAGGGTTTGTATTTCTTGTGATTTACACCCCTCTGCCACACTGCACAGCCAGGCAGGTACTGGGCAGTGTGACAATTCACATCTCTACCTCCACCTTGTGTACTGGGCAATTGGGGCTCATTCACATCGACCCCACTGGGCAGCACTGCCTAATGCATTCACAAGGCAATTTGTCTTATGTCCTATTGGGGTGCACACAAAAAAAAAAAAAATTTTTTCTTGCAGTGTGCTCCAATACATTGTAATGCATCGCAGTGTGCTGCTATGCACAAAATTAAATATAAATTAACCTTCCTGGCGGTATTCCGGAGTGTAGCTCGGGGTAAAGTTTCAGTACCACAATCAGTAACCCCGAGATACACTCAGGAATACTATACGGCGCTGCTCCGGGATCCCTCGATCACTTACCTCGATGTCCCTCCTGCAGTGTCCCCGGCAATGTAATCCGGCAGAGGCCGGCATCTATCATCTGGGTCCCGTCCCCTGCGAGCGTCGGGATGTACGGGGGACGGAACGGCGAGAAATTTGAAAATGACAAAAAGTGACATTCACTAAAATCACTAAAATCACTAAAATAGTATAACATTCCTGTATCAAACCATTTCACATACATTTTGTCCCGAGTGCTTTGTCCGGCGCCCTGCCTACATTTTTACTGTTCTTTCTGCCTGGAAACTGAGAAATGTCCATGGCATCAACAAAGGGTCCCTTTAGGTCAAAAGCGGTTTTAGACCGGCTAGAGAACAGCGATAGTAAATCAGAACCACTTGCAGAATTGAGTGATAATGATTCGTGGGGGAAATTCGTCATCAGACACTGAAAATGATTCTGCGACTTTGCTCAGTGATGTGCGAACTTGGCGCTATATTTCAAATTTCAGTGTTTTTGGTTTGATTACATTATTGAATTAAATTTATAATTATATTATTTTTTAGGATTATTAAATTATAATTTACGATTTTGTGTTTCAAATTTTATCCTACCTGGGATGTTTACTAGACTCTTGTGCGGACAGATTTCAGTGAGTTATTCCTAAAAAATTACAGGCCTACAATATAAAAAAATACATATTTCCATGCAGAAAAATGTACCGCTTTGAGCACAGAAATATGGACATAATCAGACCGCTAGAGAGGTTAAAAAAGGGGGGGGGACCCCCCCAAAGTACAGGGATTTGAACAATGCATCATAGTGCACGGTAGCGTACAACCACAGTGCAAACCAGCTGCACGTTTTATGCTCCTTGATGCGCACCTGCTGGTGTGACTATGGCTGCGTACCAAAAGAATTTATAAGCAATTTAAATCTGGCTGTGCTTGTTTCATGAAAGGCACATAGAACCCAGTTGTAAGGAATGGCCATATTTTAAAGGAGAACTACCACCTGGCAATCCTCTCCCCCCCCCCCCCTTCCCACCCTAAAACACTGCAGAAATGTTACTGGGGGGGATAATATCAAGGCTTTTTATTAGTGGAAACTCAGCACTGAATATATGTAATGGCAAGAGGTGCTGGATGGTATATTGATGCTGACGTCTGAGGGATCTATTGTTGCTGGTGGAAGGGGGGGGGGTTCTATTGTTCCTCAGAGGAATCTATTGTTGCAAGAGGGATCTATTGTTGCTGGGGGAGGTGATAGTATTAAGGTTTTTTATTAGTGGGAACGCATCACTGAATATACGTAATGGCAAGAAGCGGTGGATGGTATAATGATGCTGACGTCTGGGGGATCTATTGTTTCTGGTGGGGGTCTATTGTTCCTGGGGGCATCTGTTGAAAGAGGGGTCTGTTGTTGCTGGGGGAGAGGGGATAATATTAAGGCTTTTTATCAGTGGGAACGCAACACTGAATATATGTAATGACAAGAGGTGCTGGATGGTATATTGATGCTGCCGTTCAGGGGATCTATTGTTGCTGGCGGGGGATATATTGTTCCTGGGAGGAATATATTGTTGAAAGAGGGATCTATTGTTGCTGTGGGGATAATATTAAGGCTTTTTATTAGTGGGAACGCAGCACTGAATATATATTTTAATGGCAAGAGGTGATGGATGGTATATTGATGCGACGTTCAGGGGATCTATTGTTGCTGGTGGAGGGGGGTCTATTGTTCCTGGGAGGCATTTACTGTTGAAAGAGGGGTCTATTGTTGCTGGGGGGGGATAATATCAAGGCTATTTATCAGTGGGAACATAGCACTGAATATATGTAATGGCAAGAGGTGCTGGATGGTATATTGATACGGACGTCTGGGGGATCTATTGTTGCTGGTGGGGTGTCTATTGTTCCAGGGGACAATATTAAGGCGTTTTATTAGTGGGAGCGCAACATATATAATGGCAAAAGGGGCTGGATGGTATATTGATGCTGAAATTCAGGGGGGTCTATTGTTCCTGGGAGGAATCAACTGTTGAAAGAGGGGTCTATTGCTGCTGGAGGGGATAATATCAAGGCTATTTATCAGTGGGAACACAGCACTGAATATATGTAATGGCAAGAGGTGCTGAATGGTATCTTGATACTGACGGCTGGTGGATCTATTGCTGCTGTTGAGGGGATTTAGGGTTCCTGAAAGGAATCTATTGTTGAAAGGAGGGATCTATTGTTGCTGGGGGGATAATATTAAGGCTTTTTATCAGTGGGAACACTGAATATATGTAATGGCAAGAGGTGCTGGATGGTATATTGATGCTCTCTTTTTCCTGGAAGGAATCTACTGTTGAAGGAGAGGTCTATTGTTGCTGGGGGGGTCTATTGTTTCTGGCTGTGGGGGGTCTAGTTTACTACTTTTCTTATTATCATTAACACATTTTATTATTATTAGAATACAGGATTTATATAGCGCCAACAGTTTGTGCAGCACTTTAGACAATGGAGGTAGACATTACAGTTACCATTTGGTACAAGAGGAAACGGAGGGCCCGGCTCGTTAGAGCTTACAATCTAAGAGGAAGGGCTGAGTGATACAAACGGTTAACCACAAAACCATACTTGGCCCTGTATTCTCTAAAAGGGGCGGTGCTAGGAGGTGGGTAGGGGGTGGGACCATAGGACAGTGCTTGGAGGTGGGTTATGGGCTGGGACAAGGGGTGACTTGGAAGGGGCAGTATCTGCATCTATTCTCTGATCCCCCCCCCCCTGGATAATAAAGACATCTTTCTCCAGCTTTCAAAGTGCAGCAGGTGATCCTCTAACAAGATCCCGGGAAATGCTGAGCAGCCAAAATCTCCTGAGAAGACACTGCAGCACAGTGCTGGATGATTTTCTTGAGAGATTTGGACTATTCAACATTTGGCCAAGATCTGCTGGGAAGCAGGATGACCACTCTCATCTAGGCTCTGCAGGAGAACATTGAAGAATCATATTATCTATTCCCCCCCCTCCCCCAAAAGGTTCTTTAAAGTGATTGTAAAGGCTCAAGGTTTTTTTACCTTCATTCATTGTATGCTATGTGTAGCAGCTCCTCCTAACACTTACCTGAGTGATCCAGCGATGTCCACGAGAGCCTCGGTTCTCTGGGGACTCTCGCTCCTGATTGACTGAGGCAGCAACGGGAGCCACTGGCTGTCAATAACAGCCAGTGAACCAATCAGGAGAGGGAGGGGGTGGGCCCGAGCCACGTCTCTGTGTGTGAATGGTCACACCCAGGAGCGCACCTGTTTCGGTGCCCCCATGGCAAGCTGCTTGCTGTGGGGGCACCCAACAGGAGGGAGGGGCCAGGATTGCCAGTGGAAGACCCGAGAAAAAGAGGATCGGGGCTGTTCTGTGCAAAACCACTGCACAGAGCAGGCAAGTATGACATGTTTGTTATTAAGAAACAAAAAAAAAGACTTTAGTATTACTTTAAAGCTATGTACACAGGCTTAAAAAATGCTGCTCCTAGAGGCATTTAGCATTTTTTTTATGCCTCTAGAAGCAGCTAATATTATCCTATGTGTCCATGTACTTTAGGTATTCTAGTGGCATTTTTTAAGCTCAGCGTTTAGAGGCAGAAAAAAAACCCTTCTGGTCTGAGAGAATTTTTCTGGCAAAAAAAAAAAACGCTCAGAAACGCCGACGCCTGATGTTTTTTCCCCCTAATATTTTCTCTAATATTGTTGTAAAAATGCCTATAAATGCTATCGCTCCTAAACACTGGCAGAAAAACACGAAATATGAGCTTTTTGATACAGTGTTTTCTGACATGGTAACTGCAGTGTTTTTTTCGTTTTTTGTTTTTTTAGGTACAGTGTGTATGGACCCTTAAAGTGGGTGACAACATGAAAAGGTGGGCCGGCCACTGACGTACAATGGATGTATTGCCCTGAGCCCGTTCTCTGCCCCCTTCCTCTGGCTGCCCATGGTTGGCAAGGACGGTGCACTGTGCCTGTATAGCCAATCAATTGCTCCAACAATTGTTGTATTGATGAAAGATGTCACAGCAGCAGGGGCGGACTGACCATTTGGAAACTCGGGCACTGCCCGGAGGGCGGGGGTCAGTAGGGGCCCAATGAGATGCCCCTGGTACCTTTTTCATAGGCTTTTTTGAGTTTGGGCAAGTACACAGGGGCCCCATGATCCCCTATTGCCCCATGAGTTGTCAGTCCGCCCCTGCACAGCAGTAGACATGAAGCCACAAAAAACTGCATCTTCTGCACTGCCACACAGGGCTGTACTCTGTTGCAGAGCCGTGTACATTTTAGGACTGGATGGACATAAATAAAAATCCTTTGGCAGCTTATAAATATACGTAATAATAGTGGTGAAGCGCTCAACTACAATAATCAAAAAAAACTAGTGCAATAACCCCATATGCAAATAATACCTGGTGGTATAGTGATAAAATAATACCTCTTAAACTGAAAATTATACAATAAAAAACTAGTGCAATATCCTCATCACTATATAATACATCCCTGGTGGTGTAGTGATAAACGACTAATACTTCTTAAACTGTGCAAAAGTGATACTTAAATAAAATTAATAGAACCAATTTAAATATAAATACAATCAATAAGATAGTGATACCACACTGTGCAAAAAACATAGGAAGGTGTTCAAATAATATCACTCCATGCTGCAATAGTGCTCTTCGTGAAAATCTTGACGTGACTCCCCTCAATGATAGCCAAAATGCCCCCTCACCTTCCACATTCGACCCTTGCGGGTCACAGAGCTTTTTATATATATATATATATATATATCTCTGCCAAATTTATTCTCCTCCACTGCCTCCACCGACCATGATCCTCCTCCAGGCAGTAAGTTATACTCCAATAACTCCCCTTCCTCCACTGCCTTCACCGATCAAGATCCTCCTCCAGGCAGTCAGTTACACTCCAATACCCCTCACAGAATGGACTCAGACACAGGGCGCATATGGAAAACAAAATCACATCTCCATAGTGCAACACCGTTTAATGCACTTCATCTGTACAAATAGAACATTACACTCACATGTCCTCCAGCAAAGTAAAGCAGTTCCCATGTACTATGGGTGTATACAGGTGTCCAAAGAAGGCATCCGAACACGGAACCGGAAGTACGTCACCCCTATACGTCGACGCGTTGCGCCACGATCACGTGGCTTCTTCAGGATACCGCATTGGATGGCCGCACTTCCTTATAACTCCTCACATAATCTACAAGGGGCGTGCATATTGACTCCATTTTCATGGAGCCCACTATACACAGGACGGCCGCGATCCGCCGCTACTTCCCCTACTTAAGATAATCAATAAGGGGCATATATAATACCTATATTTACATGGTGCCCACTATATGACGACATGCTTTTAGAAAAAATATAATTAACCCCCCATAAAAAACTTTTATTAACCCCTTGATTATTATTATTAAAAAAGGTATATAATCTATACCCACTTACAATCATATACCCAAGAAGAATTCAAATCTAATCAGGGAATAAATCAATGTATGTATCAAAACACACATATCTAATACCAATGATTCCCCTACCCCTAATCATATTTATTTAAAAAACCCCAATTACATAAGTTTAGTTTAATATATTATATTTATTTTAACACATTAATTTGAAGAAATATTACTTAAATATTTTAATTTAATCAATTCCAATAAAACCATGATCTAAAAAATCTAATAAAAAATCTAATACAAAACTCCTGTATATTACCCATACCACATGTACACATAAATGTAATCAAACATTTCTAAAATCGCCACATCTCACATTCTAAGGTTTTATTGGAATTGATTAAATTAAAATATTTAAGTAATATTTCTTCAAATTAATGTGTTAAAATAAATATAATATATTAAACTAAACTTATGTAATTGGGGTTTTTTAAATAAATATGATTAGGGGTAGGGGAATCATTGGTATTAGATATGTGTGTTTTGATACATACATTGATTTATTCCCTGATTAGATTTGAATTCCTCTTGGGTATATGATTGTAAGTGGGTATAGATTATATACCTTTTTTAATAATAATAATCAAGGGGTTAATAAAAGTTTTTTATGGGGGGTTAATTATATTTTTTCTAAAAGCATGTCGTCATATAGTGGGCACCATGTAAATATAGGTATTATATATGCCCCTTATTGATTATCTTAAGTAGGGGAAGTAGCGGCGGATCGCGGCCGTCCTGTGTATAGTGGGCTCCATGAAAATGGAGTCAATATGCACGCCCCTTGTAGATTATGTGAGGAGTTATAAGGAAGTGCGGCCATCCAATGCGGTATCCTGAAGAAGCCACGTGATCGTGGCGCAACGCGTCGACGTATAGGGGTGACGTACTTCCGGTTCCGGGTTTGGACGCCATCTTTGGACACCTGTATACACCCATAGTACATGGGAACTGCTTTACTTTGCTGGAGGACATGTGAGTGTAATGTTCTATTTGTACAGATGAAGTGCATTAAACGGTGTTGCACTATGGAGATGTGATTTTGTTTTCCATATGCGCCCTGTGTCTGAGTCCATTCTGTGAGGGGTATTGGAGTGTAACTGACTGCCTGGAGGAGGATCTTGATCGGTGAAGGCAGTGGAGGAAGGGGAGTTATTGGAGTATAACTTACTGCCTGGAGGAGGATCATGGTCGGTGGAGGCAGTGGAGGAGAATAAATTTGGCAGAGATATATATATATAAAAAGCTCTGTGACCCGCAAGGGTCGAATGTGGAAGGTGAGGGGGCATTTTGGCTATCATTGAGGGGAGTCACGTCAAGATTTTCACGAAGAGCACTATTGCAGCATGGAGTGATATTATTTGAACACCTTCCTATGTTTTTTGCACAGTGTGGTATCACTATCTTATTGATTGTATTTATATTTAAATTGGTTCTATTAATTTTATTTAAGTATCACTTTTGCACAGTTTAAGAAGTATTAGTCGTTTATCACTACACCACCAGGGATGTATTATATAGTGATGAGGATATTGCACTAGTTTTTTATTGTATAATTTTCAGTTTAAGAGGTATTATTTTATCACTATACCACCAGGTATTATTTGCATATGGGGTTATTGCACTAGTTTTTTTTGATTATTGTAGTTGAGCGCTTCACCACTATTATTACTTTGTTTCACATATCTTGCGGTATAGAGAATAGGTGATAGATAGCAGCTTACTCACTAGGTTCTGTGGAGCGCAGGGGGATTTCTGTATATCTATAAATATACGTAGCACATCTTTCACATAAAGTAACCATTTTATTTCTTTACACTTACTATTTGCCCCAATACTAACACACCAAGCCAGCTTTCTTGACGGCTTCCAATGAGTTAACGGATTTTCATTTTGAGTTGCATGTACTGTAGCTCTGTCAGAACACCGCTATTTCCATATGAATAGGCAGACGCAGCTCCCCGCCACTGATAAAAGGCATCAACGCGACCCCGCAGGTCAGACACTTTTCTATATAATAAAATTTGACCAGCAGCACACAAAATGACGACCTGCTCTATTGTGTGCACTTTAATCACATGCAAGTCAACATCGTCATCTCTCCATTTAGAATTGTAATACACAAAGAACGTGGCATTTAGCGATGTGTCAAGGCAACGCTGGATTAACCATCTTGGCAGGTAGGCAGGAACAGCCTGTTGCTTGATCTGGCCGATCTCGCTGCAGTGACTATGGACCCTGTGTGACGCCATGCAAAAAAATGTTGTTCTCGCCAACTGCTATTTTTTTCCCTGGTAGCAAAGAGTTCTCCCACCAGAAGTATCTATAGTGGTAGTGAAAGTGTTAACGCTTCACAGAAAACATCTTGCTAGTATATCAAGTGGTATTAAACCCAAAACCAAAAATGTAATATATTGCATCTTACCAACCAAGTGAAATGTGGTGGCTGCATTAGCTTCCTTTTTTTAGTTTTTTTTTTTTTCCCCCCTCTTTTTTTATCTGGTGATCTGGCCAGTAACACACCTGCTGTATTAGGGGTGCCCCACTCTGGATGAAGGAGCACAGGGGGAAGCTTTGGACAGCAGCATTGTTAGTCTGGGGGGCTGTGGTGCCCCAAGGCAGGTGAGGGGGGTGCTCGCCGCACCAGATGACACCTACCACACAGGGTGATACTGGACCCGCTCCATGAAAAGGTAAGTTGTAAAGCAAGCCGACGATCCCCGAAGGATGGATCGGATTTGCGGACTGAGCATAATGGATAGGAGTCCGATCCATTATGCTCCCCACTCCGCAGATCCGACCCATCCTGCGGGGATCATCGGCTTGCTTTACAACTTACCTTTTCATGGGGCGGGTTCGGTGTCACCCTGTATAGGTTGCATGCTGACGATCCCCGCAGGATGGATCAGATCTGCGGATTGGGGAGAATTATGGATCGGAGTCCAATCCATTATGCTCAATCCGCAGATCCGATCCATTCTGCGGGGATCGTTGGAGGGGGTGTCACCAAGAGTTAATGCACTGGGTGACACCAACCCTAGGGATGCCCCTGCTGAGAGGAGAGTAGTGTTAAATACACTAGCAGATTTAGATACACTAACAAATTGAAGACACGCTTCAGCTAATACTTTATAAGCAGTTACAGCAACATTTTTTTTCCTTTCGGGATGAAGATTTTACATAAACAAGCAAAACTGATCATTGTAAGCACCCCTGTCAGTGGTAATGTCTCGTCCCTGTAAGTGATACACCTGCAAGAGAACTTGTTCTTTTGTAAAACAACAGACTTACTGGGTGAATCACCAGATGAAAATTTGAGAAAAAGCCTAAAAGAGAAAATGAATGCAGCCATCACATCTAAGAATTGGTCAGCTGCGATTTGCTGGTTCTGAGTTTATTGCTTTAGGATTAACATGATACATACTTATATTAAAGACCAGCTCCAGTAATGACAAAAAAAACCCCTACCTTTGCCATGCCCTCCCCCCACCCCTCTGCATTACAAGCAATAAAGGCTTATTATATTTAGGGGTGCTGGAAGGAGTAAGTACTTACCATGTTCTACACTCCCGCAGGGCCCATCCAGCAGTGCAAGCACCCCCCCCCCCCCACAGCCTCCTCTTTAAATACTTGTTCACACATAAGGTTGGGGGTGGAAAAAACCCTGTGGTTGAGTCATGCTTTAACTGCTACCCCTTTTAGCTGCAGAGACAGCAGCAGGGGTGTACAGATGCCTTGGCAGGAATAATACCTCCTA